TTTTGTCATTTATGGTCAAAGAACCAACTTATTTTAATAAGTATACAACATCAGATCTTTTATTAAACTAATTCGATTGAATGTTGCCATTTCTTTAATATCAACTCTATATGCATAGAATTCCGTTTTATGGCTCTCGTAAACTCTAGAACAGTGTAAGAAAACCAATTCAGTCGTCAGATCAACGAATTCATCATTGAAAATAATGTCTTACATTGAATTAATCTTTTAGAGCTTTGATGTTGAAATCTCACCTGGCGTTTCTCCATCTCTTTTTCCCAATGACCCACGAAAAAGATTTGAATCAATGCGTCGTTTTCCAAGTGACCCTTGAAAAAGATTTGAATCAATGCGTCGTTTTCCAAGTGACCCTTGAAAAAGATTTGAGTCAATGCGTCGTTTTCCAAGTGACCCTTGAAATAGATTTGAATCAATGAGTCGTTTCCCAAGTGATCCCCTGAAAAGATTTGAATCAATGCGTCGTTTTCCAAGTGATCCTCTGAATAGATTCGAGTCAATTCCCCGCTTTCCCAGCGACCCACTGAATAGATTCGAGTCGATTCGCCTCTTTCCGAGTGATCCTCCAAATAGATTCGAGTCGATTCGCCTCTTTCCGAGTGATCCGCCAAATAGATTCGAGTCGATTCGCCTCTTTCCGAGTGATCCACCAAATAGATTCGAGTCAATTCGTCGCTTTCCCAGCGATCCTCCAAATAGATTCGAGTCGATTCGCCTTTTTCCGAGTGATCCTCCAAATAGATTCGAGTCGATTCGCCTTTTTCCGAGTGATCCTCTAAATAGATTAGAATCGATCATACGTTTTCCTAAGCTTCCTAGAAACATATTGGAATCAATTCCTCTTTTGTCAGCGTCATTCTCTAAGAATGTATTATCTGACAGTTCATTGAGGTCACTGTCCACTGCGCAATGTACATACGTTGTCTCTAGTATACATAGCAGCAGCGTCAGTCCAGCTACGAGTTCAAGCAGGCTAGTTTTGGTCATCATCTGAAAAAATATCAAGAATATGAATCAATATCTATATTATTTGATGTCGATATCATGTATGTGAGCTTAAATTCTGTGTTGTCGTTCCGTATCATTTTATGAATTCAGAACTCTTCCATTTGACAATATTAGTTCCTTTTTTGATAATCTATCAAAATGAAACTTAGTTTCTTTTGAACTGTTTCTGATTTTGCTTTCAGAACAATTACAAATCCCAAGTTACATACATTCAATCAACGTCCCATCCATTTACTTGTTTGAGCTATTATTCAACATTTTAATTGAGACGTCTGTGATCTGACATTTTAAATGCATCCTCCACATTGGGTAGGTGGTAGCCTAGATTATTCGATAATTTCGTCAACAATCTGGGAATCAAATAATTACTATCTTACAAAGCGGTATTTAGTTTGTGTTTCACAAATTTAAAGATAGTTTAAAATCATTCAAAAGTTGTCCCTTTTACACATTATGAATTACTTTTGTTGCAAATAATTGCTGATTAATATTTCACCTTCCCCTTAAATGTCATAAAAACAGCAATTCTAAATTCGTACATGAATCATCCACTTGATAGATATGGTCGAGCCCCACTGGATTCAATATTTCATCAAATTTTCGTTCTGCTTGACATCATGATAAATTTGCGACTTCTGACCAACTAACGACAATCAATTAGTTACATTCAATAAATGAAAATGTCATTAAAAGTTATTAATTATTACTGATGTTATTCAACGAGGAATTAAGTTGTTTGCGATGTGACGTAAAGTTCACTACGTTTTACGGTTCAAGCCCATCTCCTGTTTTTATCGAAATATTTCCGAAATTAACTTTAATGGTAGTCTTTTGGCAAAATACCCCATTGTGTCTTATTTGAATTCATGCAAGGATTGGTCAGTTTGCTTGATCTATTCATTGGAACACATCCTCGGAAAATACGTCAAGACTTTTTGAAAATATGAATAAATGGTAACAGTTCTCAAAGTGCTTTCCAGTGTTTTCCCTGATAAGTCTCAGATGTTACAGTACTCGTGATATCAGGTCTAGTCGGCCTTTAATATACATTAAATATTTTTGTTTTTCTATATCATCTTTAGCCCAACCAGGACCCAGAAATGTGCATTCAAAAATATATTTCTGGTTAATTAGGGATGTTATAACAGAATCATTACAAAAAGTCTGAGTGAGCTCTTTCAGCATTGAATTCCCCTTGCAATATTGAACAGAGGATTCCAAAAATTCAACATAAAATAAGTGACTTTTTAACTGTCTGGAAGAAGACACATCAGGCGAAGAAGACACATCAGGCGAAAAATACACATCAGGCGAATAAGACACATCAGGCGAAGAAGACACATCAGGCACTGATTATCAAATAAACTTCAAGCAATTTCAATTGACTACAAATAGTTTTACGAAAGCTGGAATGAATGGATATTACACGTATGTCATTCAATTTCCATATGTGTGTAGAAATGGCGATATTTGAAAATTCATCACAATTAAGAGAAATATTTTTGACATAAAATACGAGATTTTAGAATGAAGTCAATCTAATTCATTCCCCGAAACAATTTCCTTTACGCAGTTAAAAATATATAATCTAATATGCTCGGCCTATTTTTGGAACGCGCATTAGATTACAAATACATCTCCAGATACTAGACTCTGTTTAACTATATCTAGCCAAAGTAACGAGATAGAGATAGAGGGCAATTCAACTATTTTCTCAGTTAATGACAGTGTCTTCAATATAGAATCTGAAGCAATTATGAAGCATTCGTCATTAACTCTGACCTAATGGCGATTTAAGTTCTTGTTTGACGCCCTTTATCGCTCTGACATTTATATTGCAATGAGAGGCGATTGTTCAAAATCTACTTATCTTTCACGCTTATTTCTAACTTTTAAAATAGAATCTATTCACTAAAACATCAATTCAATATATCAACATTTAAAATAGGTTCTATTCGCAAGAACATCAACTCAATATGTACAACATAGATATATATAACAGAATAGCACATAATTAAACACAATTTACAATTACAATACAATAATATACGGCCCAATGCAGTGCAGTGCTAAATTGCAATACAATACAATATATTTACGATACGATACAATACACAGGGGCGTAGCCAGCTTTCAGTCAGGGGGGGTGCGATCGCCGAAAATTTTTCAGTTTTCGGTCAGGGGGGGGTGCGATTTTGCCACAAGCAACACAAAAAATTAAGATTTCTTTTGAATTTTACAAAAATTGATGCAACTTCCTTCAAAATTGAGCTAGAAGCTTCAAATAAAAAGCATTTTAAAGCTCTTTTCTACCTCCAATGGTCATATTTTTAAAGGTTATGGGGGGGGTGCGATCGCACCCATCGCACCCCCCTGGCTACGCCCATGATACAAAACAATACAAGACAGTAGCATACAATACAGCTCGTTGGTTATAGCTGATTCTCTCAGGTTATAGTTAGTCTCGTTCGCAGCTTGGCTAAATTGCTTCGTTCATGTTTATGCATAGGAATAACAATAAAATAGTAATTATTTCATGTTTTAATCAGATTATAAGGGCGTATGTACACTTTCAAGTTGACACTTTATGGACTGGCTTGTCGATGGTCAATACTTTATTAAACCGCTGATTTACATTAAGAAAAACTAAACGCAATCGTGTTCTCCTTTTTACATATAAAGAAAACGCCGAACCCCTGGATAAAGAAGGACATGGATCACAATTACACTGTAATGATTATTGCAATTAATGCAATTGCAAGTGATAACAGGATTCAAAAATATACTGATAGGACCTGATAAGACTGCTAAATGGAAAATTGAACGGCAATACATTGCAAGAGTACTGTTAAATACCTGTTTTGAGAGAAAGGAACTTGAAATGCAAAGATCGTATATTGAATAAGTACTCGACAATGTACTAGTACAGTTGATTAAATATCACTAGTTAGTATTCTTTGAAAAATCTGTTGACTAACAATGTACTTTTATCTGTTCGTTCCACACAAATGTTACCGATTGTGATTATTGAGTATGTCCGGTTATTATAATAATTGATATCATTACCTGTGCCCTTCATTAATTAATTAAGGAATAATCACACCATGGGGAGTAATTAATGGTCACAATCGACCATTTCCGCTATAATAACCAATGTTGTTCAGAAATGACCAATGTTATTCAATACAAGTATTGTTGAAGCATAGAGAGTGTTACGTACGATCAAAACAAATGCTATTGATACACTGTTCAATTTACTAACTCTCATCTAGACGAACGTATTATTGAATGAATGTAATTTGTTATTAAATAGTACCGGTTTAAGTGGCGTTCAGATTATTATCTGGAATATAATTCGTTTCCCAAACAATTCTTGTCATCTTATGTCTACAAAGCTTCTTATTAATGACATCTGAATTCAAATGTGATTTCAGAATGTCATGCTATTTAACAAAGAAATACATGCGCATACCTACATGAATTACTTTCTGCTGTTAATTATATGTTATAGAAGATCGAGCTAATTTCTGATTCCGCTAATGCAGAGCCCAATGATACATATAGCCGGGGACTGAATGGTCGGATGTACCAAATGTGAGCATCGGTTACATACCGTTCAGCACCTTGCATACTAACTTTAAAACATTCTTAGCAACTAGGGCATTTTTTCTGCTAATTAAGTTGCCATCTAGCTACATATAAAAACGTGCAATGATATGTGAGATGCAATCAGGTAAAAAAAAGTTTAAAATATTATATGTGTTAAAACACGACATGTGTCTTGCAAATATTGCCGTAGTTTGAGCCATCATATGGTAAAACATTTTGCGACTAGTTTCTATGCAATGGGATTAGATAATCGGGTAGATATTATAACAGTATCGTTTTGAAATTAATCTTGGTGCTGGCGAACGATTCCAATTTCTTAGTTGGGTTGTGGAAGGAGTTCAAGTCAGCTGCAAATATCTCCGAACTTTGGGAGATTTCCTCTTGTGACGCCATATTTTCTGACTTCACATGCGTCTCAAAATGGCATTACATCGAACGCCCTTAAGAGTCAAATATATTTGACTACTGCATAAAAGATAAAAAGAAAATGATTGACACATTCATGTCCACAACAAACTAATATTGTCTAAAATGTAAAGATAACGAATGGTTTGACAAGAAGTGACACTGACACAGACTCAATATTTCATTTGAAGGGGTTTCATTGCCTCCAACTTATCGAACTAAATAACAGATCTCTTGCGCTGTGTTTAACGTAACCGGATTGAGATGATTGCTTTTTATCAGACATTATCACATGAAGAAGGAGCTCAAATCTAAACCCTCTCAGTACAAAAGCTAGAAGAGGAAATGCAATACCGGCACCGCAAGGCCCTTTCTTGTCTTCATTTTTCATGGGTCATTTTTCACAGCGAAACAAGATGGAAGGTCGAGACGCAAAACTCTGCTTTGATTGCCGTGCAATTAGACATTGTTAGACTAAATATTATAACTAAAGAAGTCACACTCCCCTCCATAAGTTTGGCAACCTTAGCTCCCCCATTGAACTACGTGTTAAAGCCTCTTTACGTTTGTTTTTTATTTACTTAACCTGCGATGAAAATACTTATAATATTGATGGACACGTACACTCCCCTCCATAAGTTTGGCAACCTTTTTTCCCCCATTGAACTACGTGTTAAAGCCTCTTTACCTTTGAATTTTATTTACTTAACCTGCGATGAAAATACGTAAACTATTGATGGAAACGTAATTTGACTTTAATTCCAATACCTCCAAATTTTCTCAATTTTTTTCCTCAATTACAATAGGTCGAAAATTGATGATAAATTTGATGAATTTTTGAAAATCGGCATTTCCATGTTAACCAATGGGAAATGGTAGGTTTGCCGCAAGTCATATGACAGAATATCCGTCCATCCAAGTCCTTGCAAAAAATACGAGTTAGGCTGGCAATTGAATTTGCTAACTTT